GCAGAAGGAATCTGAAGGGAACACAAAACAGCTGAAAGTAGCTGAAAAAGTGTGAATGTGCTGAAGGAAGCTGAAAGAACAAAATGTGAAAGGAGCGGTAAAAGGTTGTAAACACATCTAAAGATTTGAAAGATGTAAAGAGATCAATTAATTTTCTATGAGATAAAAATGGTAGAAGAAAAGGCTATATATTTCAAAAAGCTAAAGCTGCACCAATACCAGAAGTCACAGCAGGATTGTCCTGAAAGAGCCGAACGTTTTGATTCATGATTTGTTGAAAACTGAGGGACGAGAATGGTCCATAAGAAAACGAGATGACGACAGTGAGACTGCTTCATGAACATTATCAGCTGCAAGTTGAGCGCACCGTTGATTTCTCGTTTGGTCGATGGTTGGATCGTGGGTTTGAGGACGGTTCGATAACGGGACCGTTGGTGGTTTAATCCCCCGCTTCCCGTTCTTCTCCCTGGAGTCACCGCCCAGTCCAAAATGGCTCCTTGCAACAAACCAGGTCTTGACAGAAAATGTGCTCATCGTCACCGTTTTACTTGAAGTAGCTGAGACTTGTAGTTTGTCGAGGCTTATTTTAAAACGCAAGGACACGGTGGTCATGGACAGATGTTCAGACTGCTGCACGGCTGTTTGGTTCTGAGGGAGTCTAAGGCTTTTTTTTTTTTTTTCCACTTCATAGTTTCACTGTCGGCTTGTTTAGCATGGCCGCACTGTAATACGTCAGCCAACGTGCCAAAAAATATAAAAACAGTTGACTAAGTTAGAGAGGACTTGAATTATATAAAGTGTTTCTAAGCAAATAAAAAAAAAAACTTGGTTTTTTGAAAATATGTCCAGGGGGAATATTTGAACGTTGCATCTGAATCACTGTTTATTGACCGGTACGGCGTATCCCTCAGCTCGGAGCGCTCCGGGGTGGAGGGCCGAGGATTTATGAGGCGATCTGGACCGCTCTGCCTCGTCTAGTTTGAGACTCTCTTCCTGTTTGCCCGGGACGGGGCTTGCCGTGCACTTTGGGGGCCCACTTTATGTCAACATCCTGGTTCTGTGGAAGTGAAAGGACAGTTTGTGGACAGAAGAAGAAATCGCCGGGCAACTGAATGTCCGGGAAGGAAGCAGTCTGAAGGATGAGCATGAAGTTGGACGTGAATGGTTGAATGTGACGCTAGTGTAAAGGTCAACACTTAAATGTAACAATAATTTTAGGGTTTCCATACGTTTTATAAAATGGTTACAAATGAAGAATGTTTACGTTTCTCAGCGGTGGGGATTCTTCTTTGTTCTCACTCTGGTTTCCCTGCAAACGTTCCCATTCAGAGAAGGGTTTAATCAGAGGGACAGACAGCGGCTGGCAGCTCAGATTAGCAGCTCTGACTGAAGTGTGTGCGTGCGCGCACGTGTGTGTCTTTCTCTTAGCAAAGCTCCTTAGACCGACTAATAAGCTGCACATTTAACGAGGCAAATCCGAGTAAAAACTCATCTTTGCAGCCAAAATGTAGCGTTCTATTTAGAAAACTTCTACAATGACATCCTCCAAATCAAGACGGGGGAATTTTGTTTTACGGCACTTGTTCTGTTTTTTTTTAAATTTTTTTTATTCTTCATATAAATGCACCAGAAGATTGTAGTGGAGAGATATTTATTAATAAGAATCACTAACGCGCTGCAAACACCTTGACCAGACACACGTTGTGTTGTGGGTTTTATCACAATTCACGATGCAAATTCTGATGGTTTAAAATCTGCTCCAAAGCAGTTTGTAAACTTTAAATTCAACCCCACGATGGCTAAAAATTTACCATCTGGATTATTCAAATTCAGCCGCTTTTTGGAGATGGCATTTTAGAAATTTGCATGACAAGTCCAAACGAAGTCAAAATGTTGCCAACTTTACTTTGAACCAGCCTCGTCTGTAACACGTTTGTTGTTGACATATTTTGTTAAAGACCTCTTACAAAGACGGTACATAACAGAAACTCTTAGACAAGGCACTTCAAAAGCATTTAATGCATAGACAGCTTTTACTGCCTTGTTTCTAACGGCAAACTATTGGTGGTAGAAATAAGAAATAATCCTGTGTACTGTCCTGATGCACGCTCAATAATCCAGGTAGATGCATCTAACAAGGTTAAGTCAGGTCTTCTGGGTGGATTCTTTTTTGTTTCAGCTTTAATCCAAAGGACTTCTTCAGTCTGACGGTTCAAAACGGATTTTAAAGAGAACAGAGAAAGGGAGGGGCCAGTTAGGAGCACCAGAGTTGATCCTTTTGTCGTCCAGTGTCTTCAGTAGAAAGAGAGAGACACGAAGAAACGATAAAGCCGATAAATGAAAATGAGGTTGATAATTTTCATTTATTATGCGATTAATTGATTTATTGTTTATCGTGATAGGCCTAGTAAGAATGAAATTATTAAAGCCTGACCGATATTGAAATTTTGGCTATGATTGATACCGATAATAGGAGGGGAAGGCTAATAACTCATATCGTGGCTGAAATTTCTTTTTTTTAGCTTTGTCCACCCCAAAGAATTTAACAGCTGCTTAAGTAAGTTAAGTTTATTTTTAGAGCGCTTATCACAGACATAAAATCAAATCACAAAGTGCTGTACAATAAAAATAACACTGAAATAAACTAAGATTAAAACAAGCATAAGAACTAAACATTAAACCTGTTTTAACACTTGACACGGTCTTTCTAATAGAGCCCACCCGACATGGAAAGTTTGTCTATCGCCAATGCCGATACTGGGTGGGTAGGCGACCGCCGACAACAATGGCTGGAAATT